ATGTGTGTGTATGTATATATATATATATATATATATATATATATATACATATGTGTGTGTGTGTGTGTGTATGTATGTATGTATATATATAATATGTTACCCATGGTGAGAGATGCCGATCTGGTGTAGGTCTACTCTCAGACCCCCGACTTTGTGCCTGTGTGTTGGAGTTTTCCCCAGTAGATGAGAGGGTAGCTTCCCTGCTCCTTTGTGTGGGGGTCAGGCTCTGACTATTGTTTGTGACTATGAACCGAACGGCAGTTCAGAGTATCCGGCCTTCTTGGAGTCCTTGGCGGGGGTGCTGGAAGGTGCACCTGCTGGGGACTCTTTTATTCTACTAGGGGACTTCAGTGTCTACGTGGTTAACAACAGTGTGTCTTGGAGTGGCGTGATTGTGAGGAACGGCCTCTCTGATCTGAACCCGAGTGTTCTTCTGTTGTTGTACTTCTGTGCTAGTCATAGTTTGTCTATCACGAACACCATGTTTGAACCTAAGGGTGTCCAAAAGTGCACTTGGCACTAGGATGCCCTAGGTCGTAGATCGATGATAGACTTCATAGTCGTATCATCTGATTTGTGGCCATTTGTTTTGGACACTTGGGTGAAGAGAGGAGCTGAGCTGTCAACTGATCACCACCTGGTAGTGAGTTGGATCAGCTGGCGGGGGAAGATGCCGGACAGACCCGGTAGACCCAAACATGTAGTGAGGGATGGCTGGGAATGCTTGGCAGAAAAACCTGTCAGAAAGATCTTCAACTCACACCTCCAGGAGAGCTTTAACCGCATCCCAGCTGAGGCGGGGAACATTGAGTCAGAGTGGGCCATGTTCCGCGACTCAATTGTTGAAGTGGCTGTCTTGAGCTGTGGCCGCAAGGTTGTCGGTGTTTCTCGCAGTGGCCATCCTCAAACTCAGTGGTGGATACCCCGGGTTAGGGAGGTTGTCGAGCTGAAGAAGGAGTTATATCATTCCTTTTTGGTTTGTGGGACTTCGAAGGCAGCTGAGTAGTACCGGAGGACCAAACGGTCCACATCCTTGACTGTTGCTGAGGCAAAAGCTCAGATATGGGAGAAGTTTGGTGAGACCCTGGATAACGGCTCTCGGTCAGCTCCGAGAAGATTCTGGCAAACCATCAGGCGGCTGAGGAGGGGGAAGCAGCACTTTACTAACACTGTGTTCAGTGAAAGTGGGCTGCTGTCGACTTCGACCAGTGATCATGTCGAGAGATGGAAGGAATACTTCTTGAATCTTCTCAGTCCCACCAGCACGTCTTCCATGGAGGAAGCAGAGTCAGGGGACTTCGGGATTGGTCTGTCCATAACCGTGGCTGAGGTTGCCATGGTACAGTGATTATAACGTTTATAACGTTATAACATTATAAACATTATAATGTTTCATGGCGGCAGGGCTCCGGGGGTGGATGAGATTCGCCCTGATTTCCTTAAGGCTCTGGATGTTGTGGGGCTGTCTTGGTTGACACGCCTTTGCAACATCACGTGGGCATTGGGGGCAGTACTACTGGATTGGAAGACTGGAGTGGTGGTTCCCCTCTTCAAAAAGAGGGACCGGAGGGCATCACTCGCCTTAGCCTCCCTTGTAAGGTCTATTCAGGGGTACTGGAGAAGTGAGTATGATCATTGGTCGAACCTCAAATCCAGGAGGAACAATGTGGATTCCGTTCTGGCTGTGGAACACTGGACCAGCTCTTTACCCTCACTAGGGTCCTCGAGGGGTCATGGGAGTTTGCCCATCCAGTCTACATGTGTTTTGTGGACATAGAGAAGTCATTAGACCATGTTCCTCGGGGTACACTGTGGGGGGTGCGCCATGAGTATGAGATTGGAGGTCAATTGTTCCAGGCTGTTCGGTCCCTATACAAGCGGTGTGAGAGTTTAGGTTGCATTGCCGGTAGTAAGTCAGACCACTTCAGGGTGGGAGTTGGACTCCGCCAGGGCAGCCCATTGTCACTGGTTCTGTTCATAACTTTTATGGACAGAATTTCTCAGTGCAGCCATGGGACAGAGGGATTCTGGTTCGGTAGCCTCAGGATTCCATCTCTGTTCTTTGCAGATGATGTGGTCCTGTTGGCGTCATCATGCTGTGATCTTCAGCTCTCACTAGAGCGGTTCGCAGCTGAGTGTGAAGCGGCTGGGATGAGAATCAGCACCTCCAAATCTGAGACCATGGTTCTCAACCAGAAAAGGTTGGATTGCTCTCTTCAGGTCGAGGGTGAGGTTCTGCCTCAAGTCGAGGAGTTCAAGTATCTTGGGGTTTTGTTCACAAGTGAAGGAAGAATGGAGTGCGAGATTGACAGACGGATTGGTGCAGCATCTGCAGTATTGCGGACTCTGTAGCGGTCCTTTGTGGTGAAGAGGGAGCTGAACTGTAAGGCAAAGCTCTCTGTTTACGGGTCAGTCTGCATTCCTACCCTCGCCTATGGTCACGAGTTCTGGGTAGTGACCGAAAGAATGAGATTGAGGATACAGGCGGTTTAAATGAGTTTCTTCCGCAAGGTAGCTGGACTCTCCCTTAGAGATAGGGTGAGAAGTTTGGTTATCCGGGAGAGACTCAGAGTAGAACTGCTACTCTTCCACATAAAGAGGAGCCACTTGAGGTGGTTCGGGCATCTAGTAAGGATGCCCCCTGGGTGCTTCCTTAGGGAGTTTCTTTGGGCATGTCAGACTGGGAGGAGGTCTCGGGGAAGACCCAGGACATGCTGGAGAGACTACGTCTCTCAGTTGGCCTTTGAATACTTTGGGGTCCTTGCAGGAGATAGTAGAGGTGACTGTGGAAAGAGATGTCTGGGCCTCCCTGCTCAAGCTGCTGCCCCCGCGACCCGACTTCAGAACAAGCGGTAGATAATGGATGGATGAATAAAGCATTACATACTGTATATTGCTCACTTATCTTGCCATATTTGAATTATTGTGTGGAAGTTTGGGGAAACTCTTACAAATCCTCACTCCGACCGTTGTGCACACTTCAGAAAAGAGCCATCAGAATGGTTCATAAGGCAGGTTTCCAGGACCACACTAATGAGTTATTTTTAAACTCCTGCTTATTAAAACTACCAGATCTGGTAGAATTTCATACAGCTCAGCTGATGTATAAAGCTAGAAATAAACAACTACCAGATAATATACAGAAACTCTTCACTGATAGAGAGGGGCGTTATGGTTACAGGGGAAACGTTAACTTCAGAACCAGGAGTGTTCATATAACCATGAACAGAATGTGCACTTTTTTCAGTGGTGTAAGGGTCTGGAATAAACTCAGCCAAGAAATGAAGCAATGTCCTACCATTTTGTTCAAGAAAATGCTGAGACTGCTGCTCTTTAACAAATATAGGGATGATGATCTGAGATTAACCTGAATGGTTGTCTCTAACGTTATACATAGGATTGTGCATATGAGTGTGGTTGTGTGCGTGTGTGTATGTGAATAGGTCAGGTTGTATTGGGGAGGTGGTTGGATCTCATTTGCTTTTCCTGGTCCCTCTGTGCTGTGATCTGGTTTTTGTAGTTGTTTGGGTTTAGGTTCTCTCGGTGGTCCACATTTGGTGCCTCTTGGTGGCGGGGCGGGGGCCCCAGGTGACATTACTCTCGCACTGGCATTTTGAGGTGCTGGGTGGGGGCAGGTGGGGTATACTGATTGACACTGGTTGGAACCACAGTTCTGCTCCAGCAGCTTGAAACCATAAAGCAAACTTTAAACCAGAGTAGCTCACCCATACCACATCCTGTAATCCTCTTCAGAGTTACTCAGAGAACTCTAGGCAAACAGATTATTCAACTCACTTGTGTGGCTAATTGAGCCACTGACATTCTTGCAATGTTTTGGCATGTCAGTATCATTAAGTTTCCTTTTAAATTAGATAGTTGACATATTCCTCAGGAGCATCAACTTTTCTCAGTCATGATTTAGAGCTATTCATGTGCTTACTGGGGTGGTTCTTTTCTAAAATATTTGTAATGTTATTTCTTTAATCATTTATGCTATTCATGCACCTACAGTTTTTCTGTGTTACGGGTGGCTCAAGTTGTGAAATGTACACCCAGTATTTGGAGGGTCAGCAGTTTGATTTAATGAGCCCAAATGTTCTTTACTTCTTAGTCTACAAAAAAAGAATTAATTACATGACAGACTTTTGTTTCTTCTTTTATCTTCCTCAAATTGAACACTAGGTAAAGAGCAGCATGGTTTTATAGATCTGGAGATGCTCCCACCTGAACTTGGTGTTACCATCCTGTCTTACTTGAATGCCACTGACTTGTGCTTGGCCGGCTGTGTATGGCAGGACCTGGGACACGATGAGTATCTGTGGCAGGGGTATGGAGTGTTAACATCACTTTCCTACTATTTTCAACCATTGTAATGCAGTTAAGTTTGGTTGTTTTCTCATATATTTGCTGTTATGTAATCAACAAATTTTGATCCATCAGGCTGTGCAAGTCCACATGGGGACACTGCTCTATCTACAACAAAAGACTACCTGCTGGTTTCTCATATCGAAGACTCTATCTACAACTAGATGAAGGCAGCCTGACATTCAATGCTAACCCACAAGAGGTAAAACATTAAAACCTGGGCAGACACCAAAATGGTATGAATCCAAGGCTGTGAAACTAAACCTAAATATATTGCACAAATATTTCTGTGTTTGTAGGGTATCCGTTATTTCATGTCTAAAGGTATTCTTGTGGATCATCCCAAAGAGTTGGCCAAGTTCATTTTTTACACCAGACGTCTCAACTGGAAGATGCTGAGGATTTACCTGGATGAAAGGTCAACACTTTGAAACTCACAAGTCTACTCTATTTAGTCAGCTTTTTATTGTTGGTTCTTTAATGTGCAGGAAGAAGGGGTTGGATTTGATTTAATTGTGATTCAGAAAATATGATTACATTTGCTATTATAAAATGATTAAGTTTACACTTCAAATGGAACCCTAATTATTCAATCTTTCAGACCTAAAAGAAAAATATATATTTTGCGCTACACTGTAGCTTAAGACAATTTTCATTTCAGCAAGATTTTGAGAAATAATGAGCAAAAACCCAATTCAAAACACTGAGTACAGTAACCAAAGATTATGTGGTGATATTAGACATGTTAGAGTTCTATTTCGTATAGGCTTTGCCCTTCAAGGCTATCGCTAGTGGGTTTTCCCATCGCACGCAGCTCAACACTAAAATCTCTAATCCACGCCCACCTGCTTTGTGTGCCCCACCCCTGGTCTATATAAGCTGCTCTGAGATTGTGGTTCGGCTTCCTATTTTCTTCAGCAAGCAGCAAGCAAGCACTTACAAAATCTAAAGAGCAGAAGATGTCCATCAGAGTCATTCGCCTGTGTCCCGGCCTGCGGTACGGGGTTTGTCCTCAGCTCCGATCTGCATACCATCTGCGAGGGCTGCCTCGGAGCATAACATGCAAGTCAAGCCCTGACACTTCAGGCTTCATGCCCGTGCTTCAAGCTCCTCTTGTGCGAGAAGAAACAACGCCGGGCGGTGTTCGCTCCAGGTGAAGGGCATTTCCAGCTTTCATAGGGCTACCCGCTGGACAAGGCCCTCGATTTCCTCGATGTAAGGCAGAATTCTGATGTTTCTGCCTCCGAAGAGGACTCACTTTGCAGCTTTGCTCCCCACTCCCAGGCGGGAAGGCTGGAGTCGGAGCTGCCTATGGCAGGAGCACCTCCAGGCATCCCTATGTCAGCAACCACCCCTCTCCCAATGATCGACGCACTCGTGCATGCTCTGCCTGACATAATTCAGAAAGTGGCAAACATCAGAGATCTGAGGCCCCATCCCTGAATAGATGAAAAAAGAACTGCTAGAGGGGCCCATCAATCCAGACGAACTGTTCATCCCTCATTTCCAGTTGGTGTTGGATCAGATGCAGTCTTCTTCAGACGTGCTGGAACAAGTGGGGAAGCATGTGGCGTGGCCTCTTCTGGAACCCTACTTTCACTCACTCCCCCGGTCTTTGGCGGGACCAACGGTAGCATCAAAGACGCTCAACAGCTGCAGCTGCATCCTCTCAAGCTCGAAGTGCAGCGGCCACTCCCAGAATCTAGTCACAGCAACACGGCTTGCAGTGGAGCTCCAGAGTCCACCAGGTGGCGTGTTCCTGGTCCAATCCACTGCAAGAGACACAGCGGAGACACTTTTAAGAAATTACGTTTTAGCGGGGATGTGTGTGTTCACAATGTTGAAAGTTTTGAAATAAAACACCAACATCACTCAAAGAGCAGAATTCTCACTACAGTCAGATCGAATTATCCTGCTGTGTCCTCTTCACACACACACAGAGTGAAATGGTGACCTTTACACAGACGTTTAAATGCAGACATAGTTTCACGGTTCCTATCCATCCATCTATTCATCCATTATCTACCCGCTTCTTCCATTTATGGGTAACAGGGTTCGCCGGTGCCCATGTCCAACAATCACTGTATGAGGGCGGGGTACACCCTGGGCAGGTCGCAAGTCCATCACAGGGCCACATAGAGACAAATGAGACAAACAACCATTCACTTTCTCACTCACACTTGGGGACAATTTAGAGTTACCAATCAGTCTAACATGCAAGTTTTTGGTCTGTGGGAGGAAACTGGAGTACTCAGAGAAAACTCACGCATGCACGGAGAGAATATGCAAACTCCACCCAGAAAGGCCCCTGAACTGGGATTTTAACCAGGGACCTGCTCGCTGAGAGGCTGCAGTTCTACCAGTTGCGCCACCGTGTTGCCTTCACAGTTCCCAAGCAGTACAAATATGAGCCTGTGCCAGTACAAAGTGCTGCGTGTGCGGACAACACCCCCATCTCCAGCTTCTCACCCGTCGGTGGATGAGAGTGAAAGATGAGGAACAGTGTGAGCCCTCCCTTAAGCAGTGCGTCACTGTACCGCTCGTTCAACAGGTCTGAACCCCACAAATGTGCTCGGATGTGGGGCTGCGCGTAAACCGCTGTACTGAAGTAGATCCTGAGCCATTTCGAGATCTGAGCCCCCCATGGGTCACTCTGGATGCACCTCTGGGGATAACAGCGGCAGGGGCTCCTGCTTGGGACACGGCACTAAGTGTGCATGCACGGCCGCTCTCAGAACACGGTGCCGAATGGGGGTGCTTATGTCCCATGAGCAGATAGATGGAGCGCTTGATCAGTGGGGGCTACACGTTGCAGTTTGTAACAAAAGCCCAGAGATTCAACAGAATCCTGGAGACCATCTTGCCATCCCCAGAACAGGGCGTGGCTTTCCAGTCAGAATTAACTCTTGATAAAAGACATAATTTCCAGGGTTCCCCACGGGGAGGAGAATGCGAGGTTTTACTCTCAGTACTTCCTGGTACCGAAAAAGATAGGCGGGATGAGATCTATCCTGGATCTGTCTTTTTTCAACAAATATGTCATGAAATGACAATTTCACATGATCACAGTCAAGCGGGTGTTGGAGTGTGTCCGTGAGAACGACTGGTTCGCCTCCATCGATCTGAAAGATGCATACTTCCACTTCCCTATCATCTAGAAACACAGAAAATTTCTACATTTTTGCTTCCAACAAGTCCAGTACCAACTGTCTGCTGTTTGAGTACTCATCCCCCCCCCCCGCACATTCTCCAAATGCGTGGAAATGGCTCAGCAGCCTTTACGCTTAATGATGATGAGAATTTTTGGTTTTTTTTATCTGGACGGCCTGCTTCTGCTGGCCCGGTCCAGAGAAGAGATGGAGGAGCAAACGGGGTTAGCGACACACATGGCGTGCCTGGGTTTCTCCATAAACTGGGAAAAAAGCTCGGCTGTACCCTCCCAGCTCCTTATCTATGTGGGGGTGGAGCTCCACTCGACCACCATGAAAGCCGGTCTCTCACAGCTAATAAGGGAAATCCTGACCTCATTGCTCCAGCATGTCAGTGCTCAAAGATCTGTAACCGCACTGTACTTCATGCGCCTGCTGGGCATGATGGCGGCAACGCACGTGGTGGTCCCACTGGGGCTGTTGCACATGAGACATTTGCAGAGATGGTTCAATCATCTTCATGTCGATCCCATGCATCACAGACGCCGCATGATTTCCATCCCTCCGTCAGTTGGGACAGACCTGAGTCACTGGGGGAAACCTCCAGACCTTGCTAGAGGGAGTTCCCCTGAACAGGATGATGTCATACATTCCTGTTTTCAGCAACATGTCCCTTTCCAGATAGGGGGAGTGTGTGTGTGTGTGTGTGGGGGGGGGGGGGGGGTACATGACATGCCTGTCCCAGACGGTGGGGTGGAAATGGCCAGCCTACACACGTCTCTTCACATAACCTTCCTGGAGCTGCTCATGGTGGGGAAAGTGGTCAAAAACTTTGCTCCGTTATTGCAGGACCAACATGTGATGAGCTACATGGACAGCAAGGTGGCAGCAGCTTACATAAATCGCCAGGTAGGCAGCTCAACTTCTAAATGCAGCCAGAGAAATACTGTGCTGGGCACGCACACGGTTACGCTCCATCAAAGCAGTGTATGAGAATTGCGCCTAGAATTGCGCCGCTCAAGGTGGCTGCATGTTGGAGCAGCTCTATTACTTTCATACTGAGATTTTGCTTTTGGAAACTTTTAATTCCTCTTTTCCTGGATGTAAATCACAATTTTTTTTGGATGATTGTTTCCTCTGGTATCGGATGCTGTGCAGCTGGAAGGATTTTTACTGAACCTTTTTTTAGTTTTTGACATTTGTTATGATGCGTAACCATGGCAACAAGGTAGTTTTCTACAACCAGCAGCAGCTGATTAACATCTCAAAAGCTCAAATAATATCTCAACTACAGCCCCAAATCTCAAAAGAGTTGAAAAGGATGTTCTGTGGACGCATTCCCATCTACCTGCCAGCTGTGCTAGAGTGTCTGACCACTGAGATCCTGGAACTAACAGGAAACATGGGTCAGGACAGCGGAAGGACAGGATCGTCCTTCAGCACCTACAGTTGGCTGTCCGCAGCAACAAGGAGCTCGGCAGACTGCTGGGAGGAGTGGCCATCGCTCTGGGAGGAGTTCTGTCCGGCATTCAGGCGGTCCTGCAGCCCAGGGGAACCGAGAGGCCAGCCGAGTCTGGGTGGACGTATCGGACGGCATCTGCAGCCAGTTTCTTAGGATCCACTGTGGGACGGACCTTTACAAGAGATCCTTCCTGTCTACAGACATCAGCATCTATAACATCTCTTAATGAAATGAGGATAACGAGTTACAACAACAAATAATTTCCCTTTGGGATTAATAAAGTATTTTTGAATTGAATTGAATGTTCTGGGCGTCCTGAACAGAAGAGTGGACATTATGTCCAGAGGGAGCCCTCAAGACAAGGACTGGAGCCTCCACCCGGATCTGATCCACCAAATTTGGAGCAAATTCGAAAAGGCAGACGTGAATTTGCTGGCCACATGGGAAAATGCTCAGTTCTGACTATGGTTTTCACTGAACCCACGGGACGAACCACTGCTGGGAGTGGATGTGTTTGCACACAAACCGTGGCCGAAAAAACTGCTTTATGATTTTCCCCCGTCCCTACTAATCGCACGCCTACTGTATGGGAGGAACAGCTGAAGGTAATTTTGATGGCTCCAGAGCGCATGGTTGCATCATGGTTCCTGTGTTTACAACAGCTGACAGAAGGTCAACCGTGGCAGCTGACATGGAGGGAGGATGCCCTCTCGCAGACGGGAGGGACAATCAGGAACTTTCCAGTAATAGGCCAGCGTCTTTGGGCCTGGCCGCTGAACGGGAGCGTTTAGAAAGGCTATTCAGTGATGGTATGTGGAGAAAGGCGTGGACCCCATTTCCTGTCCCCGGGCATTTCCTGTCCCCGGGCTGCATTTAATCTTTTCTGTAGCTGCTGATGGTCAGAAACCTGGCTTTCAGCACAATTAAAACATATGCTGCAGCCATTTCCTTCTGTCATGAGGGCTTCGGTGACAGGACGGTTTTTAGTCACCTGCTTATGAAACGCTTCTTGGAAGGCGTGTGCAGACATAGACCAGTGTCACGCGCACTGGTGCCTCAGTGGGGTTTAGCGCTTGGGTTGCATGCACTGGTTAAAGCACCATTTGAGTCTCTAGACCAAGTAACACTGAAGTTCCTGTTGTTTAAAACAGCCTTGCTGTTGGCTTTGATGTCAGCGAAGAGAGTGAGTGACTTGTTAGCTCTGTCTGTGGCTCCGTCATGCTTCAGGATCCAAGGAAATGGGAGCTCAGCTGTGTTTCGCCCAAATTCAGCTTTTACCCCTAAAAACATCATAAGTTCTTACAGGTCCAGAGTTATAACATTGGATGGGTCCTTCCCTCTCCCACATAACTCTGGGAAGAGGCCACTTCTCATCACCTCTGCCCTGTGCAGGTGCTGTCCTACTACGTCACGTGCACAACCACACTACGCAAATCTGAGTGCTTGTTCGGGCACTTCAGGGAGCACACTTAAGTACTCCCTCTGTCTGCCCAGTGCCTGTCACACTGGTTGTATGAGGCTGTGTGACGGGCTTATACCTTTTCTGGATCTCAACTTTCAGACAGGCTCAGGGCTCATTCCACCAGAGGAATTTCAACCTCCACGGCCCTGCATGGGGCAGTATCGGTGCAGGACATTTGCACTGCGGTATCATGGTCATCACCAGATTCATTCATCCATTTTTATTTACGTGACGCTTCCAGTTTCTCCCTGACACACTCTGTTCTCAGAGTTTTGTCAGAATTCCAACGTAAATGTTCCACCGGGGCTCTCCAATCTGCCAGCCACACATCAGCAGGACTTGACACTCCAGCCTTCAGACTGAGGCAGAGATGTCACCCTCCCTACTGCTCAGCGCATCCCAGGCACACGGATTCAAAGGTGCATAATTACTTGTGAACCGAAGAGTCGATACAAATTGTTTTCAAGAATATGAGCAGATGTTTGTGTGATTGTGGTTCTGAATGGAACTCGTGAGGCATAGACTACATCCTGCTTCACCTTGTATCTACTAATGATAGCCTTAAAGTGCAAAGCCTATACGAAATAGAACGTTAGTTACATATTGTAACCCCAGATTCTATGAGTATAGGCACAGCCCTTTAAGGTCTGGGCCTCACTGACTCCTAAAAGGTTGAAGAAAATGCAATTTGGAAGTCGAACCCTCGTCTCAGAGCAGCTTATATAGACAGGGGGTCGAGGCCTACACAGCAAGTGGGTGTGGATTAAAGTTTTCAATTCTGTGCTGCACGCGAGGGGAAAACCTAATAGTGATAGTCTTAAGGCTCCCACATACTCGGGCGGACCTCAGTCCACAGAGGTTCGCGCGTACCGGATTAGACTTGAAGAAGAAACCCGCAAGGCATGTCCATGCAAACATCAATTTTTATGACCGTGTACGCGTACTCCGTGTCGCACAGTAAACTGCCCGGCGACGAACTGTTTTGTATGCAACACCAATGTATTAAATTCCCCTTCTTCATCTGTGGTCTGGTTTAATGGCCTTTTCTTTTTTTTTTTGTCCAAGACACAAGCAATCTCTTCCTCCTCGTCTATTGACGCCATGAATGAAATTGTGAGAAATTAAGGAATTTGTCACGAGCAAATTAAAATCAGACCCGCGTGACTGCTGGAGGGTCTGGAGATTTCCCAGTGGGACTGTCTTTTGTGTGGGCTGTAGGGCCAGCGCCCCCCCTTTTTTTTAGAACTTTTTATTAACAACATATAAACACAGAACACCGCTGCCGCTTGCTGCCAGCAGTCTTTTTTTTTTTGGTGACCTGTCATTTAATCCAGTAGGCGTGTCAGCAAATGACCAGTCGGTGAAGTCAATTTGTCCTGAAGGTAAACGCCCCTTGCCTGCGGAGCTGGCTGCAGCCGGACAGGGTGTACGCTCGAGTATGAAGTCTCAACCATCTGCGGACTGTGCGAGCAGTTTTCGCGCAGACTTGAGTTCCGCCCAAGTATGTGGGAGCCTTTAAAGGGCTGCGCCTATACTCATAGAATCTGGGGTTACTATACATAACCGTTTTCTGACCCACCTACGTTTTCATGATGTTTCGGTCTTGTTGTAGAGTGTTTGAATGGTTGCGTTGGCACATCTTTAACATAGAATGGTTCTATCATAGTTTCAAAGGGAGAAACCGAAATGTAGCTCTGTTTTTTTGACCACTGAATGTGGATGCATAAATTGGCTTTGGACCATGGATGCTGGATATGGGCACCAGACCCCTGTGATACAAAAAGGAAGAAGTGGGTAAAAGATAATAGATGGATGGATGAATATGGATGCAAATCCTTTTTAATAAATTATGCAATGAAATTTGTAATTTTTGTCTTTTGAGTTAGTGCTTTAAGAGCCACCACACAGGTGGATCAAGGACCTGGACTACACCTGTCCCATTCCTTGTGTTGAGCCTCTCCTGATCCAGAATGTCAGAAGCCTCTTACCTGGGCTAAAGACAAACAGGACTAGACTGTTACTCAGTGGTCCAACATATTATTTTCAAATGCAAATTAATTTAGCAATTTATTTAGAAATCGGGCGACACCGTGGCTCAGTTGGTAGAGTTGTTGCCTCTTAGTGAGAAGGTTGTTTGTTCAAATGCTGGCTGGGGACCTTTCTGGATGAAGTTAAACGGTGTACTCCGGTTTCCTCCCACAGACCAAAAACATGCATGTTAGGCTGATTGGTAACTCTAAATTGTCCCTATGTGTGAGTGGAAGAATGAATGGTTGTTTGTCTCTATGTATCCCTGTGATGAACTTGCGGCCTGCCCATGGTGTCCCCCGCCTCTCGCACAGTGACTGCTGGATATGGGCACCAGTGACCCCCGTGACCCAAAAAGGAAGAAGCGGGTAAAAGATGATGGATGGGTGGGTGGATTGGATGGATGGATTGGATTGATCCCACCCCCACATAGGGGGTACCGAGCTTGTAGTGAAGCTTTGGCATGGATTTCTTCCTGACACTATTCTTTTTTAACTTTGCCACCTGCTGATGTAAAATGGTACCTCCAGTCTTTATAAAATGTAAACTCTGGAGATATTTTAGGCTCTATATAATGATAAAACTATGATAATCTAACAAATAAAACTGTTTATTTTTTTTAATAGTTTGGCACAATTTGAAACAAAATGTACCTGGATTTGAGTATGCTGTTTTTCTTTTAAATTTTTCTGTGCAGGCGTGATGTCTTGGATGAGTTAGTGACCCTTCATAACTTCACTAACCAGTTCCTCCCCAATGCACTGCGGGACTTTTTCAGACACATTCATGCACCGGAGGAAAGAGGAGAGTATCTGGAAACCCTCATTACCAAGTTTAGCCACAGGTTTTGTACCTGCAACCCTGGTCTTGTCCGTGACCTTGGCCTTAGTCCTGGTAAGTGCGTAAACTGGTACAAAAATACAGTTTACATGTGTCAAACCTGTAACCACGGGAATGCTGCATCAGCGTAATTTAACTTTATAGTTTCTAACATGTTTTTTGTAATCAAAGTACTTATGGTGCTTTTTCCAAGTAATCTTGTAGCAGTATGTTCAGCTCCATCAGGAACAGTGTGCTATGACTTTTTAGCATGTGAAACTTTTATACATTTTGAATTATTGAACTTAAGTTTTACACAGACAAATTAAATAGAATGACATCTCTTCATTTTCTTTAAAACGTTATCTAAAATCTTCTGGAGCATACTTGCTCTGTACTTTATGTTCTGTTCAGCTTATAGTTACAGTTTTGCTGCATTTAGCTACGGCTTTGCTATTTTTATCTATTCACGATGGCCTTGGTAATTTGTACTTTTAGCTTTTATTTGACTCATTTTAGCTTCCGTTTTGCTTTACTTTATCGTGTTAGTAACCCTGGTTCATCTTGAGTTCTGAAACCTTTTTTGACAACATTTTTGAGAAGTTTGGGTGACTGAAAACTTCCATGCAAATTCTGTAAATCATACATACATAAATAAACACAACTGTATCTTGGGATCTGTGGGCGTATATGTAAATCAATAAATATTTTATATCAAAACAACAAAATGGTTATATGTTTGAATGTAATGTTTTGCTTTATTTTGACCGTCTCTTACATGGTAGAACATTCCTGAAGCCAAATCAAACATACAGTAGTGAACGCCGTTCTAAAAAGTGGTGTTATTTTCTGTGAATTTTGAACTAGTCCGGGGGTGGGCACACTTTCGGACATGCGGGCCACACTGAGTTCTAAAATTGGAGCGAAGGGCCAGGTCAGGAACAGATGGATGGAATGTTTGTGTGATGTTACACCCCAGCGCAATAATAGACAAGACTTTGTGGAGTCTTACCAACTTCAGGCCCAAACAACAAACAAAACAAACCACTGTATTTTCTCTTACCTGAAGAAAAATAAAATTCACCAAACCACATGTCTCTTACCTCACTATGCTAATGGAATACAGGAGAAAAGTCAAAATAAGGTGGCAGCTCACCTCTACAAGCTCTTCACAAAACCTTTTACAACTATAGGATCTAAAGTTGACGACAGGTCAGCTGTGGCAGGTTGGGAATGGAAGCAGACATCACACAACAAAAGTGATTCTTCCCCCAACAGCTTACTCCAAAGTGGAACAAACCAGTTCTGCTTGTGATAAGATGGTCTCTTTGGTACGCCCCTCTTCCATTGCCGGCCCTCTTCCTTGTTGACATTCTTGTCAAACTGGTTGAAAACAACAAAGTCCATGCTCAATAATCCATCCATCCATCCATTATCTTTACCCGCTTATTCCACTTTGGGTCACGGGGGTCGCTGGTGCCCATGTCCAGCAATCACTGTGCGAGGGGCGGGGTACACCCTGGACAGGTCGCAAGTCCATCACAGGGCCACATAGAGACAAACGAGACAAACAATCATTCACTCTCTCACTCACACCTAGGGACAATTTAGAGTTACCAATCAGCCTAACATGCATTTTTTTTTGGACTGTGGGAGGAAACCGGAGTACCCGGAGAAAACCCACGCATGCACGAGAGAACATGCAAACTCCACCCAGAAAGGCCCCTGGACCAGGGTTTGAACCAAGGACTTGCTCGCTGAGAGGCAGCAGCTCTACCAGTTGCGCCACCTGCTCAATAATCCAGGTGTACAATCCAACATTTTTTCAGTCAGGTCATCTGGACAGTTTCTTTTTTTGTGCTGAAACGTTTCGCCTTCGGTCCGGAAGGCTTCTTCAGTCAAGGAACCAAAGAGACCATCTCATCACAAGCAGATCTGGTTTGTTCCACTTTGGAGTAAGCTCTTGGGAGAAGAATAATTTTTGTTGTGCGTTTCCTTGACTGATGAAGCCTTCCGGACTGAAGGCGAAACGTTTAAGCACAAAAAAAACTGTCCAGATGACCTGACTGAAAAATGTTGAACAATAGAATATGTTCTAGAATTGCGTCTCTCGGGGTGGCTGCATGTTGGAGTAGCACTGCTACATTCATTCTGAGTTATTGCTTTTGAAAACTTTAATTCCTCTTTTTCTGGATGTAAATTACTTTTTTCGGATGATTATTTCCTCTGGTATCAGACACTGTGCAGCTGGAAGGATTTTTACTGAAACCTTTTTACTTTTGGGCATTTGTTATGATGCGTAACCATGGCAACAAGGTGTTGGTTTTTTTTTTAAACAACCAGCTGATTAACATCTCAAAAGCTCAAATACCTCAACTACAGCCCCAAATCCCAAATAAGTTGAAAAGGAGGCGCCGTGGACGAATTCCCATCAATCTGGCGGCGGTGCTCAAGTACCTGACCGCCGAGATCCTGGAGCTGGTGGGGAACTCATCTCGCAACAATGTGAGGACCGGGATCATCCCCCAGTACCTTCAGCTGTCTGTCCATGGCGACAAGAAGCTTTTGGGCAGTCCTGCTGCCCAGAAGGACCAAGAGGCCTGCCGGATCTGAGAGCAAGCTGGATCTGGGTGGACAGATCAGTATCTGTGGCCAGATTCTTCGGATTTGCTGCAGGAGATCCTTCTTTCCCACAACTATCAGCATCTGTATCAACTCTTAAATGAAACCAAGATGATGAGCTATGACAACACCTAATTTCCCTTTGGGATTAATAAAGTATTTTTGAATTGAATTGAATTGAATCAGCCTGAAGGTTGTAGTGTCAGAAACCTTGCTGTTGTGAGAACGAGCAGGTTGGAGAGCTTCAATGAAAATGACTGTGTTGTCATTCAGACAGAACTTCGCACGTAATAAAACGGATGGTGAGGACTAATTGGTCACAGAATAAATGTCCTGTACTGATACTCCTTTGTGCTGGATCGTGGAAGGCTGAAATTCTTCTAGTTAAGTAGCCCTGAGCCTGTCTGGAGACTAGGATCCAGGAGAAATATCTACACAGCCCCACAACCATTGTGAAAGATCCTGGGCAGCCAAGGGTGTCCCAAGCACTGTGGTAACAGTTTCTGTTTTAAATGGGCTATATAAAATAAATCTGACTTGACTTGAATCTGACTTGACTGTGAATGGTTTATGAGAAACCTGAACAAGCGCCCGAAATCCATAATGTGTCTGTGCACGTGACATACCGTTGGTTACGTACTGTAACCCCAGATTCTATGAGTATAGGCATAGCCTTTTAAGGCCCTCGCTAGTGGGTTTTATCCCGTCATGCAAAGCATCGCACTGCAAAGTTTAGTCCATGCCCACCTGTTGTGTGGGCCCCACCCGGTCCGTATAAATTACCTTAAGAGCGGGTAATCGGCTCCCAAATAGCTTTTTTCTTCAGCCATTTAAGAGCCAGTGAGGCCCAGCGCTTAAAGGGCTACACCTATACTCATAGAATCTGGGGTTACAGTATGTAACCAATGTTCTATTTCGTATAGGCTTCATCCCTTTAAGGCCCTCGCTAGTGGGTTAAAAGGCAAAGCATGATGTGGTCCTCGCCTCACTGGGTCCATTCGAACACCATATGAAGCGCATGCTTGCCCAAAAAATGTCTTGTCACTCAGCTCTCCACGTGCGTAATTGCGCGTTGCATAATTACACGTACCATGTACAGACGCGTGCTGCGTAGTTGTGCGTTCTGAGTGCATGAACGCCCCAGAGAAGTTTTCAACGGGAAAACCGAAGCGGCTGAAAAAGGCCATGAACCAAGCAGATCCACGGTTCTTCAATATGAACAGATTAATAATAAGTGAACTGATTATTAATCAAATGAAATGATTGATAACAATAGTCATGAACTGATTAGTGACAATAGAACAAGAACAACAGTCATCTAAATCTGATGCTCTGTAGGCTTGTGAAATGGCCTCACACAGCCAGTGTGACAGGCGCTGGGTGGATAACGGGTGATCTGCAGAGAAGAGAAGGACAGAGAAGATGGAAAGATGCTTCTTCTTCTGATTTGTGGGGAGGAGGGAAAAATCCCTCCAACGTTATCACTCTTGATCTAAAAGACTTGTGATGTTTTTAGGCATAAACGCTGGGTTAGGCCTCAGATCAGCTGAGCTGCCGTCAGCCTGAATTCTGAGGCATGATGGAGCAACAGAGAGGGCAGATAAATCGCTCACCCTCTTAGCGGATGTTAAAGCCAACAGCAGGGCTGTTTTAAGAGACAAAAATTTAATCGGAACCTGATTCAGTGGCTCAAATGGAGCTTTGATCATGGCTCGCAGAACCAGCGTTAAATCCCACTGTAGAGCAAGTTGGCATGATACAGGCCTGTGTCTCTGTACACCTTTTAAAAAAACGCTTCATCAGCGAGTGATTAAAAGCTGTTCTGTCCCTGAAACCTTCGTGACAGGAAGAGATGGCTGCAGCGTAAGTTTTAATCATGCTGAATGCCAGATTTCTGTCCATCAGCTGCTGCAGAAAGGACAGCACGCCACCTATTGGACATGAGGTGGCCTCTACACCTTTCTCTGTACACCAGCGCTGAAAAGCTGTCCACTTTGATCTGTACAGCGCTGTGGTGGAGCAGCACGTGAATCCTGGATCGTGCGCACTACATCTTGGGAGAGAACCATCCTCCAAACAGATCCGTTCAGCGGCCAGACCCAAAGGTGCTGGCCTATTTCTGGGTAGCTCCTGATCGCTCCTCCTGCCTGGAGGAGAGCATCCTCCCTCCACAGCAGTTTCCACAGGCGCCCCGATAACATGCGTCATAGAATTGGGAACCAGTGGAGCAAAGTGTCAGACCACCTTCAACATTGTGAGGATCTCCAGCTCGCTGAACCATTTCTGCAGATCATCCATGCAGCAAGTCACAGATGCGCTGCTGATGTCATGTTGAGCAAGTTCGAGACTGACAGAACTGTCACTGAACTGTGAAGCTGTACTTCGTTCAGTCAACCTCTATTTATATAAGTTCATTGTATTGAATCACGAGGGCTCGTGCACAAGAGAGACTTTAGTGGCTGGATTTAACTCCTTCCCAGATAACAATGAGTTGGGTCAGAATGCCCGGGATGTAAACTGCTTTGATGGAGCAGATGTGTCTGCGCGCCCGATATAGAAGCCCTCTGGCTGCGTTCAGCGGAGGGCTAATCACACTACTCCTGGCAGTTAAAGGCTGTTGCTGTTGTTGACCGTGTGGATCACCACGTGTTGACCCTATGATAATGGGGCAAGGGCTGGTCACTTTCCCCACAGGGGTTCCAGCAGACCCCTTCCTGAGCTGCCACCTTACTGTGGTGGAGGGGTTTGAGTGTCCCAATGATCCTAGGAGCTATGCTGTCAGGGGCTTCATGCCCCTAGAAGAGTCACCCAAGGCAGACGGGTCCTACATGAGGAACCAGACAAAGTGCAGCCCAAAGACCCATTATGAAGATTATAATAAATGGAAGCAATGTTCCCTCGCCTGGACGTGGGTCACCAGGGCCCTACTCTAGAGCTGGGTCTGGAGGTGGGGCATGCTGGTGAGCGCCTGGTGTCTGGGCTTTTACTCATGGAGCCCGGCCAGGTACAGCCCAAAGAAGAGATGTAGATCTTCCTTCCCATGGGCTCACCACCTGTGGGAGGGGCCAAAGGGGTCAGGTGCAATGTGGGATGGGTGGTGGGCGAGGGTGGGGACCTTGGCGGTCTGATTCTTAGCTACAGAAGCTGACTATTGGGACGTGGAATGTCACCTCTCTGGTGGGGAAGGAGCCTGAGCTGCGGCTGTGGAACATCGCCCAAATCATGGCGTGAGCAGTTAAACTGTCCTGAGTCGCACATAAATCCAAAATGGTGTCCACAGCATTACAGAGTTCATCCTGCTCTACTGGCAGGAGGTTCAGCTCTTGTTTCTTTGGAATGCTAACACTATCATAGGCATGGTGTGGGTCGCTGTAGCTGTCTGAGATGTGCACTGATATTCTGTCAGTGAGTCTGGCTATAATCTGGTCATTGGAGAATGGGGGGATGGCCATCGTTTGACGTGCCGAGCCGCTCTGACCCTGAAAATAGCCCGGAGGCTTGGCTCCAGAGGAACAGGTGTTCTCATCTTCAGCGGGTCGCAGGCTGCTCCCGACAGTGCACTGTCACACTAGAAACGAGGTCAGACTGGGTCTCGGTGGCTGGAGTGCGGAGTGCGGAGTGCGGTGTGCGGTGTGGCAGACTTTCCTGCCAAGTCTAATTTTTTTTATTTTCAATTCAACCTTTATTTAGACAGATACATCACATTGAGCCTTGAACACTCATTTACAAGTGAAACCTGTTTAGACAGACAAAATAAGTAGTGAAACTGGACACATAGGAATTGGAGGCAAAAAAAATCCTATCAAACTCGTTCTTCTTGGCTGAGAAGAAAGACCCTGATAATGAAAAAAAACACCCCATACATACAAGTACATGGTGACGTAGGCATTCTGCAGGGGGGTGGGGGGGATGACAAGGGTGGTGAGGATGACTAAGGATGCTCTCGGGGGCACTGTAGGAGTTCTGATAAGGATGGAATAATCAGCCAGTTCCCTCCGGTAAGATTCGTAAACATTCTCGAGGAATGTCAGGAAATGGACATGGACAATGCCAATGAGAATCCAAGAGTCCTAAAATGATGGCACAATGTTTATTCAGCTGGTTCCCTCAAATTGATCAGTGGAATTCCTCGATGGGAGGGAGGGGGGGCAGAGCATCAGAATACATGGCCTCCAGGTGAATTGAGATAAGGTGGCCTGCAAAGCCAGCCAAGGGAGCCAAATTCAGATAAATAACGTTTGTTTTGAAGTCAGGCAGAACTTTAATTTTTATCTGCCTTGAGTCTTTGCTGGTCTCACGTAGATTCCGAAAGGTCCAAATTAAGTGGACGCACCACTGATCCGTGCCTGAGAATATTCCCCGAGATTTGATCCATCCTGCCAGTGAGTTCTATGGGCCGCATATGGCCTGTGATTCTCACAAATCACATCCAATTTGTGATCCAGTCTGCTAAGCAATTGAGTCTAGGTGCACGAGACATGGAGCAAACCTTCACATAGGCAGCAGCTTGATCAGGACAGATTAGCTGCGGCCGTCTTCTTTGTATGTTGATAAACCAGGAACCAGACAATTCCAAAATCAGGAAATCTGTTATCATAAATCCAATTATAT